TATTTCTTTCTGACGACCTCGGTGACCCTCATACGTTCGCCACTTCGGGTATTTAAAATAGTTCCCTCATATTCGAATTCCTATGAACAACTTCCTATTTCACAATTGAAACGAAGGTTTACAAGAGAAGTTTACGTCCTCTTTCGCGTTCTCTATGTAGCTGAATTTGTGATTTTTCAAGTCTTCTTTTTCTTCTGACTAATGTAAGTACCGAGCCAGGCGTCTCTTGGCGGACGCAGCCACTTTCAATGTAAAGGCATCATCTTCCGTGACCCTATTTTCATGAAGTAGTTCTTCACTCCTTGCGCACTAGGAAAATACTTTCATATTTGGTCCAAGCCCTAGTATGGTAATATGTAGAGGTTGAGAATTAACATAACGGTTTGAAAGGAGCGTGCAATAATGGCCATTTTCCGAAATAACGCTGATATCCTTTGAAGATCTGTGATCACGCCCGATCCGTACCTTGACATCGACGAAATAGGAATCCCAGAAATCTTCGCAAAGAAGCTGACGTTTACTGAACCGGTAAATCTGTTTAACAAGGCACACCTGCGGAAACTAGTGACTAATGGCCCCAGTGTGCATCCCGGGTGAGTTACTGTCGTTTTATGGTTTGGTTTAGAATAGCCATATGTATCGTATTTTATGGTGTGAATCAGTCTTTACCTCAGTGGAAGTACTTAATTTCCATTTTTCAGTGCAAATTTTGTTGTGTCTGATACTGGTAGGAAGCAAGTGTTAGCAAGTGATTCAGTTGATCCCCAAGCTCGATACAAACGTGTAGCTGCTGCTTCACATCTTATGCCAGCAAACACTGATAAACTACGTCAACCCATGAAGGTATTGATATTTGCATTATGAATTCCTTAGTTTTTAATGGATTTTGAGAAATTGGAATGAATTACGATTGTAAATGCGCGGGAGTGCGCGGGATTTCAATTAAATTTTGAAGGTGTTACGCCATTTGCGGAACGGAGACATGATGATGATGAACCGTCAGCCATCGCTTCACAAACCTTCCATACAAGGGCATCGGTATGCTTTAGAATTCGATTTTCAGCTGAAAACTGTTACGCTGCGTTCATACTTTGTGTAATCGCTGTGAGCGTACGGCAGCGTCTTCAGCGACCGAACCACTAAAAGTTTAAAGCTGCCCGCGCTCAAAACGCTGCCATGCGCTGACGTGCACTAGTTCGACGCCTATACTTTCCTAGTGGCTTCAAAAAGCTCAGATGCTGCCTCACGCTCGAAGCGCTCAAAACGCTGCCGTGCGCTCAAAGCGCTAACGCAGAGTATGAACACTTTCCATCACGCTCATGCAGTGATGGAATGGTCGCAACAACCGTGGGTCGTTTTAGAGCCCGTGTAATCACTGGTCAGCGTGCTCTGCGAATGAATTACGCCCCATGCAAAGCCTATAATGCTGATTTTGATGGTGATGAGATGAATGGACATTTGGTGCAGAGCCATATAGCGCAGTGTGAGGTCGCGGAATTAGGTTGGCAATCTTCGTTTATACCT